GCTTTGGAAACTGGTGCAGAGAGAAATGGAGGAGTGTGGTGCATGGAATGTGGGTGATGTGGCGATAACTTCACATTCTCCTGTCATCATTTTTTCCATCTCTGCTCCCTCACAGCACTGTGCTCCTCACTGTTGCCTTGCCTGTTAGCAGATGTGTTGTGTGTGAAGCCAGCACCACAGTCCAGGTGTGTGTGGTGTTTGTGCTGCACCGGGTGTGCGAGTTCTGTGTTCTGTGTGCATGTTGTATTTGTGTGTGGTTGAGTAGATATTTCTGTGTGCTGTGAGATATGTGCATGAGTGTGTATGTTGTACCTGAGGGGATGAGGTTCCTATGAATGCAGCTGGCCCTGTTCTCCAGACACGGGACAAGCTTACAGAGACAGAAACGAACTCTCTTTTTTTTTTGAGACTGAGTCCCGCTCTGCTGCCCAGGCTGGAGTGCCATGGCTAGGTCTTGGCTCACTGCAACCTCCACCTCCCGGGTTCAAGCGATTCTCCTGCCTCAGCCTCCTAAGTAGCTGGGATTACAGGAATGCGCCACCACGCCCGGCTAATTTTTTATATTTTTAGTAGGGACGGGGTTTCTCCGTGTTGGTCAGGCTGGTCTGGAATTCCTGACCTCGGGTGATCCACCCGCCTCGGCCTCCCAAAGTGCTGAGATTACAGGCATAAGCCACCACGCCTGGCCTGAACGGACTCTCTAGCTGGCATTATTGTCTCTGGAACAGGGTGTCCCATAGGGGCCGGGGGCGGGGAACGCTGCGGGGTGGCTCGGGGGCTGGGAGCCCACATCAGGTTTTCACCGGGGGGTTAGGCCTTGGAAGAGGCCTGTGGACAAAGAGAAGGGAAGCCCGGCCTCCTCCGGAGCCGGAGGGACATCGAAGTCAGGATGGTGGGGTGGAGATGGCGACACCGGGAGGGCAGAAGTGGTGTGCCGCGGAGTTCCCGAGGGTCCGCGGGGCAGGGAGCGGGCAGGTGTCAGGTTTCCATCTGCAACCTGGAGTCTGAAAGTCTGAAGTCCAGCTAGCCTCGGCTGATGTCTCCCACCCCCTGCCTGCGTTCGCCATTGTCCCTGATCGCTTCCCTGGACTAGCCCCTCACCCAACCCTGCTATCTTAACTGTCCTTATGATAATGTAAATACCTCTCACTCAACCCTGCCATTGTAACGGAACTTGTGGTCAAGTATACTCCTTGCCCCCTACCCCACCACTGTAGCTGATCTTACTCTGCAACACCCCCGCCCCCCAAAACACTACCCAAACCTATAACACCAACTCTTTTCCCACTGCCCTTTGCTAATGCCCTTTTCGGCTTTGGCCCACCTGCACCCAGGTGAATAAACAGCCATGTTGCTCACACCAAGTCTGTTTGGAAGGTCTCTTCATCCAAAGCGCGCGGTTTTTCAACAGCCAGAGTGTGCCGTTTAGAGTGGGGCGGGGCTAAGAACGGGGCTGGGACAAGGCTCGGTGTAAGGCTAACAGCTGGGGCTACGATCTGGAGGCAGGGTTAAAATCTGGGGTTTGGACTGCGATCTGGAACCAGGGATGGGTGGTGAGCGCTGGGCCTGTAAAGTTAAGGTCTGAGAGAAACGGTGAATCCTAGGGTTACGGGGGGAACAAAGAGGGGCCTGGGAGGCTCCGGGAGGCCCCGGATGAAGAACGCGGCTGACGCTGAGCCCCGGGCTGGGGAGACCACGCAGCTGGAGCGGGGAGGGGCAGGAGGGCGGGGGCTGCGCCAGAATGAGGCGGAGTTAGGGGCTAGGCGGGGTCGAAGCCTAGACGAGTTCACGGCTGGGCGGAGGGCTCGGCCTGGCAGAGGCTCGGGGTTGGACTTCACGGAAGAGACCTGTGGAGACGAAGACTTCGGCGGAGAGCGATGTGGGTCAGAACTACGCTCACAACTGAAAGGTGGACTAAGGAAAAGACCGAGCCCAAGGCGCGCTCGTGGGACGTGAGACGGCACCGCGGTAAGAGGGGCGTGGCAGAAGCTGGGGCGTGGCGCGGCCTGGCTCGTGGACCCAGGGCGGCGCACGCGGGAGGCGGGGCCCAGGGCTGGGCCGGGGCGGAGCTAGGGCCGGGGGCGGGCTTGCGTCGAGCCGCGGGCCAATGATTGAGGACTGGGAACTTGCGCCCTGCTGGGCCGCCCGTGGGTTGTGCTGGAAATCTGGGCTGTCTGACTGGAAGGCTCCGCCCGGCCTTAACCGCGAGCGCCGGCCGCTGCCTTTGAAGCTCGGGTCTTGGCTGGGGCCCATGGACCAGCGCCCACCCCGACGCCGGGGCGGGAGCGGGCGGTTCCATCGACCCTGAGGGTGGACCAAGGAGTCTGTGGGTTCCACGCGTGACATCACAATTGCCTCTGCGGGGGCGAGGCCGGAGAGGCATTTCCTAGGAGACGCGGGCGCACTGCCCCTCCCTTGCTTCCACCTTTTCCCTCTTTCCTAGTTTCTTACCTCCCCTTTCTCCTTCCCTCCCTACTCCTTTCGACTGCTCTGGTGCCCACCCCCTGTGCCTCGAGGGTGGGGAGAGCCCCTCGGCCCCGCAGGACAGGGAGGATTCTGTACAGATGAGCATCACCTGTGAGTTTTGAGTTAGGCATCTGCGCGCGGATTAACACCTCACAGGGCAAGACACCATAAGCCTCCCACTTCCTTTCACCCTATCACCCTCCTCATTCATTGTGTGCGCAGTGTCAGTCACTCGCTGCAAGAGCTCTGGACTGCTGCTGGTCAGAGCTGCTCCTGTCCTCTGGAACTAAAGAGCAGATTGCTTTTCTCACCTCTGAATAGAGTTACTAAATTCGTCTCCCCTTTTGTTCCTCCTCCCCTGGTCTCCTTGGGAGACACAGCTGATGGGTGTCCGAAGTCCTGGGGAGCTAGTCAGTGAAGAGTAAATAGGCTCTGACCCTGCATGTGCGCCTCTTTCATGGTGGCTCCTGAAACAGCAAGGCAGAGTAGTTTTGGTTCCTCACCCTGGCTGGGGCCCCTGCGGCATTGGCAGTGTTGGGGCTGAGAAGCAGGTGTAGTAGGAAGTGACGACTGGAAGGACAGGTGTTTTTGTTGTTGTTTTGTTTTGTTTTGAGACACAGTCTCACTCTGTCGCCCAGGCTGGAGTGCAGTAGCAAGATCTCTGCTCACTGCAACCAGCACCTCCTGGGTTCAGGCGATTCTCATGCCTCAGCCTCCAGAGTAGCTGGGACTACGGGTGTGTGCCGCCACACCTGGCAAATTTTTTGATTTTGAGTAGAGACGTGGCTTCACCATGTTGACTATGCTGGTCTCAAACTCCTGATCTCAAGTGACCCACCTACTTCGGCCTCCCAAAGTTCTGGGATTATAGGCACGAGCCACTGCACCTGGCCTGTAAGGACAGGTTTTGCATATGGAGATGAATGTCTTTTTATTTATTTATTTTGAGATGGAGTTTCACCCTTGCTGCGCAGGCTGGGGTGCAGTGGAGCAATCTCAACTCACTACAACCTCCACCTCTTGGGTTCAAGCAATTCTCCTGTTTCAGCCTCCTGAGCATCTGGGATTACAGGCACCTGCCACTACGCCCCACTATTTTTGGTAGAGACGGGGTTTCACCATGTTGGCCAGGTTGGTCTCTTAACTCCTTCCTGACCTCAGGTTATCTGCCTGCCTCAGCCTCCCAAAGTGCTGGGATTACAGATGTGAGCTACCACGCCTGGCCAGTTTATTTTTTAAGACAGAGTCTCGGCTGGATGCGGAGGCTCACACCTGCAATCCCAGCACTTTGGCAGGCCGAGGCGGGCGGATCACAAGGTCAAGAGATCGAGACCATCCTGGCCAACATGGTGAAACCCCGTCTCTACTAAAAAATACAAAAATTAGCTGGGCTTGGTGGCACGCGCCTGTAGTCCCAGCTACTCGGGAAGCTGAGGCAGGAGAATTGCTTGAACCCAGGAGGCGGAGATTGCAGTGAGCTCAGATTGCGCCACTGCCCTCCGGCCTGGCTCCTGGCGACAGAGCAAGACTCTGTCTCGAAAAAAAAAAAAAAAGAGGCACACCCTTTCCTAGGGAAGAAAAGCTGATGACGGTTGGAACTTCCACAGATAATGCCGGTGAAATTATCTGCTGAGAGAAACAGTGGTTGCAGGAGTTTCCGGGAAGTGCTTAAAGTCATTCATTCATTCACTCGTTTGTTCATTTCATAAATTTTGAGTACTGGCTGTGCTGTGGAAAACAGGTGGAGGAGCTGGTCAGAGACTTGTAGGAGGATGACCAAGTGCCATGAAGGCCTGCTGAAAACCCCAAGCAATCAGCTTCTCTTCCTTAAGCAGGCCTCAAGTCCAGTGGCTTAAGGGACAAAGCTAGTTGTGGGACGGAAAGGCAGAGGGGCAGACTCTGTCTTGTGGTTGCTGATGGCTGAGGGAGCTGCTGCCCCTGTTGGAGGTCTGCTCAGGGTCACCCTCTGTCCAAACTCCACACACCCTGGGATAGTTTCTGGAGCAGTCCCTCCTTGCCTAGACCCTGGCTGGCTCCTATTAATCACTCTTAGTGATGCTCCTTCCAAGAAGTCTTCCGTAATCCCCCATCCTCCTTTCCAGTCCTGGTAGGTGGCCCTTATCCTGTGCTACTACCATTTCCCTCTGTCAGCATCTGTATCACACTACTGTCATGAACTTCCCCTGTGTCCCTTTCCCCTCCCACAACCCCTCAAGAGCAGGGACTGCTGTTTTATCTCTGCATGTCCAGGATGCAGTGGGGGCCTGGCAAGTGGCGCTTCTTGGGATATGCTTGGTGAATAAATGGCACAGGGAGGGGGCTGCTGCCACCACTGCCACTCTGTGCTCTCTCAGATGTAAACAGGTTTCCCAGCTGGAAGAGAGGACATCTGCTGGCTGATGTGGCATCCAGCACTGATGTGTCTACCATCTCCTCTGAAGGTGGGTCCAGGAGACCTTTGACCCAGCAGTCCCCCATCACCCCTCACCTGGGAAAGCTGGCACCTGGTGGGAGTTTGGTCCTGAGGCAAGGAGGGAGGGAAGTGTTTGGTCCTGAAGGGTTACCCAGCTGTCCCATCCTCAACCCATCCCCTACAGATGCCAGAGGGACCCCTTTCTCAAGGCCACAATCACCCTATTCCTTTGTATAGCACTAGGGCACATAAGTATCTTTGACATATGTGAATTGAGTCCTCCCAACAACCCTGCAAAATAGGTATGACCACCATCCCATTTTGTGGATAAGGAAACTGAAGGCTCAGATAAATAAAGGAATTTGCCCTAGGCCACACGACTAGTAAGTGACAGACCCACGACTTGGGCTCAGGCCTGACTACAAGTTCAGGGCACTTTGCCACTATGCTGCCCTTTGGCCCAGCTCAGCAGTGGTGAGGGAGGCTGAGCTGGTGGTGGTGCCTGCCACACACTGTGCCTCCTCATCTCCCCTGGTGATTAAGGGTACCGGAGGGGAGGAAAGAGATACAGAGATCACCAGAGGGGTCAGCGGTGTAGTGAGGTCCCAGGACTTCACAGCCTCGTGTGGGGAAGGGAAGGAAGGAGAAATGTGGGTAAGCATCAGGCCAAGCTGCTGGTTCACCTCTGAGCACTGTGAGGCCACTTGGACTCACTGCCACAGCCTGGGCTCATTCCTGGCTGGTGGCGGGTATGAGGTCTCACCCCAGTTCCACTCCTGGGGGCTGTCGAAGGCACAATCCTCACAGCCTCTTTGAGGGTAAGCCAGCCATAGGACCCCAGGCCGATGCCTGCTCCCTCCCTCCCCCAGGGGCGCCAGGGAACCTGAGGTAAGGTCCCTTATCCTCTGCCTGGTGAGTGAGATCGTTGGCTGTGAGAGGCACAGAGTTGCCTCTTGGGCTTACCTTTGAGACATTGCCAGGAGGGGACAGCCAGTGGTAGATGAGGGCCTCAGGGAGGGTCCGAGGAGAGGCAGTGGGGGTAGACCTAGGAAACTCTCCTGTCTCTAGGACTGGCATTGAGCTGAGCAACAGATATGGGAGCCTTCCTACAGGGCTTTTCCCTAACCCCGAATTCTCACCCCAGCAGCTTCTTCCTGTGCCCTGGGAAAAGGGATGTGGTCTCTGCACTGCCTAAAAGGGTGCCTAGGTTGGGGGTGGGTCGGTCGAAAGCCTGGAGCTCTAGGGACTGGGGAGAGCATGGGAACATGCTGAGTGAAGAGCAGGGGAAGGATGAAGAAGAGGGGATGGGAAGGGAGGGGAGTGAGAAAAGTGTCAGGTGGGAGGAGAAAAGGTGCTTAGAGGAGATGGGAGGAGGGGGAAATGGGGAAGGAAGGACCTGTCCAAAGCTAAGGAGTATGATGCAGGCCTTAGCTCCTGGCCAGGCTGTGAGGGGTCAGAGTGGGCCAGGGCAGGTGTAGGAACTGAGGATGCTGCAGCTCTGCTGCTCCTGGAGCTCCAGGGTGCCATGGTAGGAGGGCCTTCTCCTACCAGGGACCTTGTGGAGCAGGGCCGCCACTCACTGCGGGTAGCTGGGTGAGGGGCAGGCAGGAGCCGGTGGAGGCCTCCCACTGAAGGGAGAGGACGGAAGGAACAGGGAGTCACAGGACAGCCAGGGGCTTGTGAGGGCCTCCTGTGTACTGGACATGGAACCAGACATTTTGCTGGGACCCGGGGTTACTCTGAGGCTAAGTTACTACTACTGAAGCAAAATACTTCTTGGGGTGGGGGCAGCTGGTGGCAGCAGGTGAATTTGGTGAGGTTTTATCTTGAGCTGTGAGAAGACTCAGAGGTCTGCAGCTGCTGCTGAGTGACCCAGACCCCCGCCCCCTCAGGTGACTGCAAGGAGTCTGACAGGTGCTGCCGGAAACACAAGCAGTGCACTGGGCACATCATCTACCCCTTCGCCTCTGACTGTGGCCGCCACAGCCTGCACCTACACTCTGTCAAGCACTGCGACTGCAATTCTAGGTGACACAGCCCCCCACTTGGAGAACCCATGGCAGAGCCATGTCCAGACTTTCATTGTGGTCCCCCCTTCAACCTTTGGTTTAGCCTCTTCAGCTTTGACCTGGTGCTGCTGGCCCAGCCCCAGCTCTCCACACATTGCTTTGCTCTAAGAGCAATGGGGAGGAGGTCTGTTGGTGGCCTGGGCCAGGCCCAGCGGAAGCCCACTGTCCTTCAGGCTTCTGGCTCTGGGTCCCTGGGAGAGTGATGGGAGACAGGCTGAGAGTCCCATGTATGGCAGGCGGAAGGACTGCTCAGAGAATAGCAGCAGCTCCTGGGGCGGGGGCCCAACCTGCTCCCGTGTCATCAAGTCCCCTTGCTTTGAGCTCACCCCGGAGGAGGAGCATGTGGAGCGGTTCTGGTATGGCTGGTGAGTGAGCTCCAGTGGGCTGATGGGGAAGGGGCCTCTACAGGGCACTGCCCCCACCTGTCTGTCAAACTTCCCGTCGTCCCTCCTCCTAGGTGTGAAAGCTACAGACCTGTCTCCGTGGCAGTGATCCACCATCCCCTTCACCATGAGTGCGGGGCAGATGATGTAAATGAAGAGGAAGAGGTGGAGGAAAGCAAGCCTCCTATCCCGGCGCAGGTGGGGCCCGCCACTGCCTCCCCTGACCTAGGCACCACCATGGCCACTGGTACCCCTGACTCTGCAGCACCCATCACCATCTGGCGCTCTGAAAGCCCCACAGGGAAGGGCCAGGGCAGCAAGGTGATCAAAAAGGTAAAGAAGAAAAAGGAAAAAGAGAAAGACGAGGAGGACACAGATGAGAAGGCAAAGCTGAAGAAAAAAGCCAAGAAGGGCAAATTGACTAAGAAGAAAAGCCCGGTTAAATCAGAGCCTTCCCCTCCAGACGTGAGCCGATCATTAAGCCCAAGACAGCTGGCCAGGATGTCTGAGTCCAGCCCAGAAAGCCGGGAAGACATGGAGAGCGAGGACAGTTACAGTGGCCGGGGGCAGGCGGACCCGTCCAGTGAGGATAATGTGGAATCGTCATCACCCAGGAAGAGAGAGAACACAGTCCAGGCCAAGAAGACAGGGGCAAAGCCCTCACAAACCAGGAAGGTAAACAAGAGAAAATCTCCCCCAGGATCAAACCCCAATCTCAGTTGAGGCCAGGGTGCAGAATAAATGCCATAGAGCCTGTGACTGGCCCCCTGCTTGCTGTTCTCTCCCTCCAACCTGGCTGTTTCTTGGGGAGCAGGGGGTGGGCTCAGGGCTCAAAGGCAATTCTGCTTTCACGAGAAAGCCCATGGGAAGGCAGGCGGGAGGGAAAGGCAGGGGCACAGCCTGTTTCTTCCTCACACCCTAAGACAAGGGTAAAAGAATGCATCTGGGGTGGGAATGAGGGCTTCCCCTCTCTCCTGGGAGAGACTGGTCTGTGTGAAACCCATTTCTGGGACAGGCAGTGCTGTCTGCAGCGACATCCCCAATAAACGGAACTTTTTAACCCACTCTATGCCGCTGTGCCTGGCCTTTCCCTCCTCTAAGTGGCTCTGAGGAAGGTGCTCGTAGTACCGCTGGGAACTGACCTTCCCAGCTGGTGTGGTCCAGCTCCTGGACCCTTGTAGTCCTTTTGTGTTGAAGGGAGCAGACCTGAGTTCCCGGCAAAGCAGTTCCTTTCCCCCAGCTCTTGATGAAGAAAAGCAAGGGGAGGGAGTGTGCCATGTCTGGGCGGCAGCGGCCTTTTCTGACTTCTGTGTTAAGCCCCAAGCAGAGGAAAGGGTGCCAGAGACCCCACTGTCCAAGCACTGACTCAGAGTGAGATGAAGCCCTTGTACAGAAACAGGGAGTGCAGGAGTCCAGAACAAAAAACGCAGTGGGGCATGGACAAAGGGCCAAAGCCAGTGTGTTGGAGGGGAGCAGGTGGGTGGGGCCCCCTGCTGGGGCAGGAACACCTGACTCCTGGGAGCTTGTCAGAGACCAAGGCCCAGCTGCAAAAACGGAAGAGATGAACGGCAGAGGCCCAAGTTGAGAAACCCAGATTTACTTGTGGTCTTTCTCCAATATGCTAGAGAAAACCAGCAGGCACGGCGGATGGGGCAGCTGTGCTGTGAGTGAGTGGGTGTAGTATAGCGGGTGACATTTGCGAGGTACTAGGCGTTGGGCCAAGGAGCTTGCACACGCTGCCTCGGTCTTCACAGCAGATGATGAGGCAGGTATCACTATCTCCATGTTACAGCTGAAAGACTGCAGGAGCTGGCACAGGTTCACAGGGCCGGGAAGTACAGCAGGGATGGGCCCCAGGCAGTCTGATGCAGAAGCTGCCTAGTCTATGAATCTCTGCCTCTGATGGATCAGAAGAGGGAGTCAGGAGAGTCCTTGGAGCTCCAAACGCTGCTTTGAAAGCCACCCCTCAAAGAGCCGGAGAGTTGGAGAGAGAGGCTTTGGCAAGGGCTCCGTAGAAACACTGTTTATTCAAATGACAGGCAGGAAGCGGTGGTGGCAGAAGGTGGGAGAGGGCAGCCAGGCAGGGGCTGGGCAGGTGAGTGCTGCTTCCCTCTGTCCCTTGCAATCCTGCTTGGACAGCTACCCGGCTGTTGGCATCAGGATCAGAAATACTCTACCTCTTCTCCCTCCTGCCCCAAACTGAATAAATAGCATCCCTCTCCCCACAAGAGCTAGGGGAGACTCATGTGCTGAGCTTGGTGCCCCAGTCACAGCCCAGAGTCCGGTGAGGGCAGAAGTTCAAAATGGCTTGTAGGGAGAATACAGAACTGTTCCACTCATTCTCACCTTCCTCTTCCTCCTCCCTGCCACACTCCCCTCCCAGCCTGGTCCCAGGACAGGTGGTCAGCGAGGGTCTGGAGTGGGAGAATTGTTGCCTAGTATACACTGAGCTCAAGTTCACAAGGCCATCTAGCCTGTCACCCATCCAGGTTGACCACCAAAGAGAACGTCACTTCACGCCACTTTATGGACAGAAAAGGAGGGGCAGGGAGGGAGGCAGTGGGCGGCCAGGCCTTTCCCAGCCTCAGAGGTAACCAGAGTCCGAGGAGCAGGCCCCCTACCGATCCATCTCGTCCAGGAGTGGGGTGGCATCGCCAGCAATGGACATGGGGGTGCTTTCGATCATGGGGCTGGGGGAGGGCCGAGGTGTCAGCCGTTGCTTCTGTTTCCGCCGTTCTGCCTCCTTCTCCTGCAGCCACTGCTCCGCCATCTTCCCCCAGTCGATGGCTGCATGGCTGTTGGACCTGGGAGGGGAAGAAAAATTTAGATTGGGACTTTGTTAAAAGGAAGTCTTCCCACCAATCACTGGGGAGTATCCACCCTTCCAGAAAGGGACGTCACACCTATGGGCAGCAGCCCCTTTGCTGGGGTGAGGCAGATGCAACAGCAGCTGGTTGCCACACTGCCCTCTTCTGTCTTCCCCCAGAAACTAGTGTTCCTGATATATTACATGGTCAGGACCCTCAGTGGATCCAGAGCACCTGCCTATGCTAATCCTCTCAGCTTCTTGACAACACCTGCCCCCACTACTGACCTGCACTGTGACAGCATCCAGATACTTACTTTGGCTGCTGTTGCCGTTGCCGGGAGCTGGAGGAGGGCTGGGGCTGGGCCTGGGCCGACTGTGGGGTGGTGCTGGCCTGGAGCTGGTGGTACTGAGGGGTGGTGATGGGCTGGCTTGGGGTCGTGTAGGAGTAGCTAGGGGTCATCAGTGGTGTGGCCACTGGCTGCTGGGCTGGCGTTGGGAATACCTGGAGAGACATGAACAGTTAAATGGGGATGGGTGTGGGGTTTGTCTGGCCTTGCTGTGAATTCTGGGTAAGCACAAGAGTGGGCTCAGCAAAGATTTCCAGATGATCCTCCACTGAGTATGTGCTTCTGACCAGCAGTGGGAAACCTGCAGGCTGGCAACTAGCACACAGTGGGGCCCACCAGTCCCGACCACGTCAGGTTTCTAGTGGCTTGTGGATTCCAAAGATCCCAAAGTCCTGTGGAAAGGTCATGCCTTCTCTTACTCTCTTCCCCTTTAAATGGGCCTGAGAACAAGGAGTATCTGTTGGAGACAATTACCAAGGCCATGGCAGCCCCATCTGTGCATGTGAAGCCCCTTGTGGGCAGTGCAAGAGGCCAGTTTATGGGCCCCACCCTGTACAGGGAGCCTCCTTCCCAAGTCACGTACATGGTAAGCACTGCTGCCGCCTCCACTGCCGCCATAGCCATACTGGCTGGAGGCCCACTGGGCTGGGGTGGCATTAGGATTCTGTCCTTGGCCTGTCACCGCAGCAATGGCACTGAACATCTGTGAAGTCATGTTCTGGGGCAGGGCATTCACGGCCCGTGTCAGATCTGTAAGAACACAGAGAGGGAGAGGGGCATGTTAGAGGTGAAAGTCCCTTTAGTTCCATCCTTCCCACCTCCAGTTCCAGGCTCTAGCTCCTCACCTGCAAGGTTGATGTTGGCTGGGGTAGCATTGATAGAGGCAGGTGTCCGGGTCCTGCTGCTGCTGCTAGGGGTGATGCCTGCAGGAAGGGTTACTTAGTTACATCCCTCCAGAAACCTATTTTTGGTTTTCCAATTCAGTGGGCTGGAAGGGGCACTGAAGTAGGAGGAGGGATGAAGGGAAGCTGCATAGGCACAGTGGATGGAGAACGTTCCTGATGCTAGGAGGCTGGGGGACTAGTAAGATACCTGCAATGACAGCCTACTCCTCACCACTCCCCTAGGCTGGGACTACTCTGAGTCTGGTCTGGGGTGTTCCTCCAGCCATATACCCCTGAAGTCGGAAGAGCAGAACTCACCTGGTACAGGATCCTGGTAGTGATCCTTAAACCATCTGAAGAGTCCATTCACGGTTGGGAAGATCTGGCCCCGGTACCGGAATCCCTCTGGAGTCACCGTTACATATTCTATCCTGGGATTTTAGAAGGAAACATGCATCAGAAACCACTTGGGACCCACCATGAGAAAGTGACCAGAACAGATGTCCACCATGTGAAGTAGCCATTCTGGCTGCTAAGGGAAAGGTGAGATGACACAGCCAGTCCCTGGGCCTGTGAAGGGAGGTGAGCAGCAGAGTACAGTCAAGGCCAAGGAGTTGGTGGCCCCCCCGTATGCTGCATACAGGCTGCCGGAGGAAGGCTTGCTGGAGGCTATGTCACCATACTGGGCTGCAGTGCGAACGCAGCATACTGCCAGTGAGGTGAGACCGAGGTCCCATAATGCCAGGGTTGGAAAGGGCCTTCCAGGGTAGCAAATTGCAACTCCCCAAAAGCAGGCATCTTTCTGCAGTGGCTGTGGAAGGTGGTTAGTCTGCCCTTGTTCAACACTTCTGAGTAGCAGACAGTAGTTAAGAGGAGGGCTCTAGGTTAGTTCCAGTTCTAGTTTTAGCTCTGCCATTCACCACCTATGGCACATTGCACCAAATTACTAAACTTGAATCTCTGCTTTATTTGTCCAATGAGGACCACAGCACTTCAACCTATGGGTGGGTGTGAGGATAAATGATAATGTACAGAGCACATTCCACAACACCTAAAGCTGGGCCGTGCTCAATAAAGTCCAGCTATCAAGGGCAAACAGACAATGCTACACAGTACACAGTTCTCATTTCTATTCGGCTAACTGCACCCTAACTCTGTAAGTGTTAATTCTGCCACACAAGGAGAGTCAGCTGCTTTCCACAGAAGCTATCATCCTGCACCTGCTCCTGGTCAGAGGCCCCAGTTTGTTCAACTGTTCCTCATGGGACACAGGTGCCAGCTCCACACAGCCCTGGCTGCTGGCCTCTGGAAGCACACTGGTGAGTCAGAACAGGCTTCTCAAGAAACGAGCACAATATTCCAGATATGCCCAAGATGGCACACGGTCCAGAGTCTAGGGCTTCCTGTCATCTGGCCACTGAGCTCCTACTAATACAGCCTGAGCTGTGTATCACGTGTAGCCAGTAGAGGGATAAAAGGAGATGTACACATGGCCTTGGCCAAAGGCCAATTAAAGGATGGGGGCAGGGCTTAGGCAGAGAAAGTGAGTGTGATTACCAGTCTGTGTCACAGACGCAAAGAAGGCGGGTGTAAGAAAACTGGATTTTGTCCTCTAGGTTCAAGGTGAGTGCTAGAGGGACTCAGCTAAAGGAGTACCTCAGGAAGGCCAGCCTGTGAGTCATACAGAAGAGGGCAGAGCAGGAGACAGAGCAGAACAGGAGAGGTTCTCC